ATGAAGAAGAACTTGGCATCAGGATTGGAGGAAGACTCATTAATAACCTGTGACATGCAGATGATACAACCTTACTTGCTGAAAGTGAAAAGAACTTAAAATACTTACTCATGAAAATCTAAAATCACAGCCTGCAGTATGGGTTACATCTCAATGTAAAGTAAACAAAAATCCTCATAACTGTATCAATAAATAACATTAAGATAGAGGAAAGATTGAAATTTTCAAAGGCTTCATTTTGTTTGGATCCACAATCAACATTCATGGAAGCAGTAGTCAAACAATTAAACTACATATTGCAATAGGCAAATTTGCTGCATAGACCTCTCTTTAAAATGTTCAAGAGCAAAGATGTCAGTTTGAGGACTAAGGTGCACCTGACCCAAGCCATGATATTTTCAATGGCCTTATATGCAAATAAAAGTTGGAGACTTAATAAGGAAGACCATAGAAGAATTGATGTTTTAGAGTTATGATTTTGTAGAAGAACATTAAAAGTACCATGGACTGTCACAAGAACAAAGAAATCTGTATTGAAAGAAGCACCATACTTAGAAGCTAGGATGATGAAACATTGTCCATGATATCAGGAGGGACCAGGTCCTGGAGAAGGACACTGTGCTTGGTAAAAGGGATGGTCAGCAAAAAAGAAGAAGTCCCCCAAAGAGATGGATTCCCACAATGGCATTAGCAATGGTTCAAGCATAACAATAATTGTGAGGATGGCACAGGACCAGGAAGTATTTCATTCCGTTACACAAAGTGTCGTTATGAGTTGAAACCAACTGGACAGCTCCTAACAACAACAACATGAGCAAAATATTGAATGATATAGAAAGCATCAAAAGAAAATGGAAGGAATATACCAAGTCACTACCAGAAAGAACTGTTTGATATCCATACATTTCAGTAGGTAGCAGATGATCAAAAACCCATGTAATTCAGAAAGAAGTCTAAACTGCAGTGAAGGCATTAGGGTAAAACAAGACCCTAGGAATTGATGGACTACCAACTGAAATGTTTCAACAAATTTATGCAGTGCTGGAAGAACTCATTAGTCTATGCCAATGAATTTTTAAGACAGCTACCTGGCCAACTGACTGGAAGAGATCCATATTTGTCCCAATTCTAAAGAAAGGTAACCCAACAGAAGGTAGAAATTATTGAACAATATTATTAATATCACATGCAAGTAAAATTTAGCTGAAGATCATTTTAAAATGGTTGCTGCAGCACATCAACAAAGAGTTGCCAGAAGTCCAAGCTGGATTCAGAAGAAGACATCAGATAAATATTGGCTAAAAGTAGAGAATACTAGAAAGATGTTTATTTATGTTTTGTGGACTATGCAAAGACATTGGGTTGTGTGGATCATAACAAACTGTAGATAAAAAGTATGAAGAATGGGAATTTCAGAACACTTAATGTGCTCATGGGGAACCTGTACATAGACCAAGATGCAGTTTTTTAACAGAACAAGGGGATCCTTACCGAATGGTTTAAAATTAAGAAAGGTGCATGTCAAGGTTGTATCCCTTAAGCATACTTATTCAATTTATATACTGAGCAAATAATCCAAAAAACTGGACTATATGAAGAGGAACATGGAAGTCTCATTAGCAACCTGCAATATGCAGATGACACAACCTTGCTCGCTGAAAGTGATGAGGACTTGAAACACTAGCTGATGAAGATGAGAGAATACAGCCGTCGATATGAACTACTCAGTGTAAAGAAAACAAAAATCCTCATAACTGGACCTAAACAACATCATGATACACAGAGAAAGGATTGAATTTGTCAAGGATTTCATTTCAGTTGGATCCACAATCCGTACCTGGAAGCTAGTCAAGGAATCAAATTATGTATTGAACTGGGCAGATCTGCTGCGCAAGATCTCTTTAAAGCATTAAAGAGCAAATATGCCACTTTGATGACTAAAGTATCCCTGATTCAAGCTAAAGGTATTTTTAATTGCCTTATATTCATATGAAAGCTGGGCAATGAATAAGGAAAATCAAAAGAGATTGATGCACTTGAATTGTGATACTGGAGAAGAATAGTTAAAGTACCATGGACTTCCAGAAGAACAAACAAATCTGTCTTTGGAGAGTGCAGACAGAATGCTCCCTAAAAGCAAGGGTCATCCAAAAACAGAGGAAGATCCCCAATAAGGTGGATTGACATAGTGGTGCAACAAAGAGTTCAAACATAACAAATGAGGATGGTGCAGGACTGAGCAGTGTTTTGTTCTGTTGAGAATAGGGTTGCTATGTGTTGGAATCAATTCAACTGCACCTAAAAACTACATGTAGGAGTCCTGGTGTGGCACTGTGGACTAATGCGTCAGACTGCAAAGTCATTTGAACTGTAAGTTTGGTGGCTCAAGCTCACCAGCTGCTTCTTGGAAACCCTATACAGGGTCGCTATGGGTCAGAATTGACTCAACAGCACTTAACAATGATAACAACATATAAGGAAAGCTAAGTAAATGAAAAGGAAGACAATCAATAACTTCAAAAATAAAAAAGTGAGGAAACGTATAATGAACATACAGCAATGTTCCCAACAATATTATGAATCATGTAATGAATGCAAAGTCCTTCAAAGTGTACAAGAAGTAAAACCTAATCCAACAGAAGTCAACTGATGTTATTTAATATTAATTAATCAAAATATATACGTATACAGGTTAATGTCAGTAGTAATAACCAAAAGAATTTTTAAAATGGCTCTCTTGGGAGCACAACTGAGAGAAGCAAGGAGGAAAAAGGAAGGAAATTATTGTATCTTACGTGATTCTATTTCTACTATTTGATTTTGAACTTAGGGTATATATTATTTTGAAAAAGTTAAAAGTACATTAAAATAGAGCTCTTGTAAGTTTCAACAAGAAATCACAAGAAAAAAATTAATAAAACAAAACTAAAGGCAAAAAATGGAGTCCTGGTGTGGTGCTGTGGGTTAATGCACTAGACTGCAAAGTTGGTTTGATCTGCAAGGTCAGCAGTTCAAGTTCACCAGCTGCTTTTTGGAAAACCTAAACAGGGTTGCTATGCACTGGAATGGACTCAACAGCACATAACAACAACAGCAACAATTTGGGGATAATACTATCAGCTTTAGTAGTGCTGGTATGGCGCTGCAGGATAACGTGCTGGACTGCAAAGACAAAGACAAAAATACAATGAAAGCATGATACCAAGTAATTTGAAAATATAGATAAAATAAATTATTTTAAAATAAAATAAAAATACTTTAAAAGGAAATAAAATCGGAACAGATCAATAACCAAAAGTAAAATTGAAAAGATAGTCATAGAGAAACTACCAAACCCAACCAACTGAAACAGTCAGCTCTAATCATGTAGAAACAGATAATAATCAAATTATAAAACCATTCTATAGCATAAAAACAGATATAATCCTAGCCCATTCTGTGAGGCCAGAATAATTTCATAACAAAATCACAGAAAGTATGTAGGAGAAAGAGAGAGAGAGACACACACACAGAACAATATAGGTCAGAAAGATCCTAAAAATAAAATTCTATTTTACATTTTAAAAAATCATGATTAATAAATGTTATTTTTATCAAGAACTCAAAGCTAAAGAATGAAAGTATAATTTAACCAGGTATCAAAAATATCTTACATATATGAAAGAATGGGAATGCTTGGTTCTGTAGGATAAGCACTGGAATGTGAACCACAAGGTCTACCAGCTGCTCCATGAGAGAATGGCATACAGCCTCGGAAATCCTATACAGGATCCCTATGATTTCAAGTCAACTTGACAGCAATTAACAACAAAAACAATGTGAAAGGAAAAAGCAATAGAAGAAACCTTTCTTGATACAAAAAATAAACAGGAGTATTTACCTTTAATGTAAACCAACTGTTAATGAAATACTAGGAGCACATTTACAAAGGAAGAAAGATCTTCTTGCTACTACTAATTTTACTAGTATTCACTGGATATTGGAGGTCCTAATAATTGAGATTTTATATGAAAAATAATTTTTATCTAATACTTAAAGTATATCAAATAGTGAAGTTGGGCGTCAGAAAGTGTTACAGAAATCAGAAACCCAAATCCCATTGTTGTCGAGTGGATTCTAACTCAGCAACTCATTAAAACAGAATAGAACTGGCCCATAGGATTTCTTAGGTTGTAATCTTTAGGCTGGGGCAGGCTGCCATATTGTTTTACTCAGAGTAGTTGGTTGGTTTGAACCTCCAATCTTTTAATTAGCAGGCAAGTGCTTTAACCACTGTGCCACCAGGGCTCCTTTTTGAAACCTGAGAGATTGTTTAATTCACATACAAGTGAAGAAAAAAATGCCAATAACACCTCAGAGCAAATGACAAATGACAGTTAAGTGATTTACTAATAAAAGATCCCCAGCTGTTATTTGTTGACCTTTTGATGAAGGCGTTATTTTTAATATATCCATTACTATCAACTTTTAAAATAGGAAGTTTTCTTAAAATTTCTTTTTGCGGGGGAACCAGGGTTTAAACTCATACCTTCCTATTTAAGATAACAACAGATTAATTTTGCTATGAATTCAGACTACCGGAAGGAAAAACAATGTAAGCACTTACTAAAATTACGGAAACCGTTTGAGGGAAAAGATGGCATGAAGCAGCAGACACTGGGAAAAATCATTCCTTCAATCCGCCATCTTTTTTCTTCTATTCTTGAGAAAAGGAATAACATACAAAACACGCAAGGTGGCGCTGTTGACTAAAAAAAAAAAAGGGGGGGGGGGGTGAGGAGGAAAGAGAACACAGAGCTTGCTGCGTGTTCCAGCGTAAAGAAGATAGCTGACCAGAAAAGTAATGGAAAGGAAAACATAGGAACAGGAGTGAGGGAAAGTGGAGCTACCTCCTCACAAACATTTCTATTATCGAGGTGATTTCCAAGGATTTCGGTTGCTGCCATTTCCGAGAACAGTTTGAGGTCCTTTGGAAGTTTTCGTGAAGATTCCAGGGAAGAATGGAGGCTGGGGTGGAGCGTGCTGAACAGAAAAGGCAAGTCTTATTTCTTTGTGTCTTTCTTCTGGGTGTGTCCTGGGCTGGCGCGGAACCGTTGCGCTATTTTGTGGCGGAGGAAACAGAGAGAGGCACGTTTCTTACTAATTTTGCAAATGACTTGGGATTGGGGGTTGAGGAACTGTCAGCACGAGGACCTAGAATCGTTTCAGATCAGAGCATAAGATTTTTACTACTAAATCCGCTTACTGGTGATATAATATTAAATGAGAAATTGGACCGAGAGGAACTGTGCGGGCCTACAGATCCCTGTGTGTTGCCTTTCCAGTTATTAATGGAAAAACCCTTTAAGATTTACCGTGCTGAACTTTGGGTCAGAGACATCAACGATCATTCTCCAGTATTTCTAGATGGAGAAATTCCCTTGAAAATATTAGAAAGTACCACGCCAGGGGAGGTATTTCTCCTAGAACGTGCACAGGATTCCGATGTTGGGGTCAACAGCCTACGTAACTACACCATCAGCCCGAATGCCTATTTCCATATTAATGTCCATGAGAGCGGGGAGGGGACTATCTATCCAGAACTGGTACTGGATAAAACGCTGGATCGCGAAGAGGTGCCTGAACTCAATTTAACCCTAACAGCCTTGGACGGCGGCTCACCGCCTAGATCTGGGACAGCTCTGGTAAGGATCCTGGTATTGGACATAAATGACAATGCCCCCAAATTTGTGCAGTCGCTGTACAAGGTGCAAGTACCAGAGAACAACCCGGTGGGTTCTCTGATTGTGGCCGTGTCAGCTAATGACTTAGATACAGGAAGCAATGGGGAAATAGCTTATGCATTTTTTTATGCCACCGAAAGAATTCTCAAAACGTTTCAAATCAATTCCACATCTGGCGATCTCCATCTTAGAATCCAGTTGGACTATGAGGCAATCCAAACTTATACATTAACCATTCAGGCCAAAGATGGCGGAGGACTTTCTGGAAAATGTACTGTGGCAGTTCAGGTAACAGATATAAATGATAACCCGCCAGAACTGCTCTTGTCATCATTTACTAACCCAGTTGCTGAAAACGCCCCGGAAACGGTCGCTGCTATTTTTAGAATTCGTGACAGAGATTCAGGGAACAATGGAAAAATGATATGCTTCCTCCAGGAAGATCTTCCCTTCATACTGAAGCCATCAGTAGAGAATTTTTACACTTTGGTAACAGGGAAACCTTTGGACAGAGAATGGAACGCCGAATACAATGTCACAATCGTTGTCACCGATTTGGGGTCACCCAGGCTGAAAACCGAGCACACCATTAGAGTGCAAGTCTCTGATGTCAATGACAATGCTCCCACCTTTGCCCAAACCTCCTACACCCTGCTTATCAGAGAGAACAACAACCCCGCAGTACACATGGGCACGGTCAGCGCCACAGACAGAGACTCAGGTACCAACGCTCAAGTCACCTACTCGCTGCTGCCCTCCCACGACCAGCACCTCCCTCTCGCCTCTTTGGTCTCCATCAATGCAAACAACGGGCAACTTTTCGCTCTGAGGTCGCTAGATTACGAGGTCCTGCGAACGTTCGAGTTCCACGTGAGCGCGGCAGATGAAGGCTCTCCGTCACTGAGCAGCGAGGCGCTGGTGCGCGTGGTGGTGGTGGACGACAACGACAACTCGCCCTTCGTACTGTACCCGCTGCAAAATATCTCTACGCCCTGCACTGAGCTGGTGCCCAGGGAGGCTGAGGCGGGTTACCTGGTGACCAAGGTGGTGGCCGTGGACAGCGATTCAGGCCAGAACGCCTGGCTGTCCTACCAGCTACTCAAGGCCACGGAACCCGGACTGTTCAGCGTGTGGGCGCACAACGGTGAGGTGCGCACTGCCAGGCTGCTGAGCGTGCGAGATGTGGCCAAGCACAGACTGGTCGTGCTGGTCAAGGACAATGGCGAGCCGCCAATGTCATCCACTATCACACTGCACGTGGTCCTGGTGGACGGTTTCTCTCAGCCTTACCTGCCGCTCCCGGAAGTAGCCCCGAATGAGACCCAGAGCGACTCGCTTACCGTCTACCTGTTCATTGCTTTGACATCAGTCTCCTCACTCTTCTTGGCCTCTATACTTTTGTTCATCACGGTCCATTTGTGCAGAAGGAATAAGTCCGTCCCGGTGAGTCGCTGTTCAGTGCCTGAGGGACACTTTTCGGACCACTTGGTAGACTTCAGCGGTACTGGGACGCTGTCCCAGAGCTACCAGTACAAGGTGTGTCTAACAGAAGGTTCCCGGGCCAGTGAGTTTAAGTTTCTAAAACCAATTATCCCCAGTCTTCCACCCAAGAGCACTGAGAGAGAATTGAAAGAAAATCTCTCATTTCAGAATAATTTAGATTTTTGATAAGAAATGAAAAATAAGTGCTATTCTATTGTGTCTGTAAATATAGTCCTACTAAGAAATTCTGAGGCACCTGGGAAAAAAAACATAAAAAACGATTTCACATTATTTCAAGTACTCTGGATGTCAATAATTTCCTTTGCACAGACAGATCCAGCTTCAGTCCTAAATGTTGATGTTAAGTGCCTACTCAGCGACCCTGTTTAGAGTTTCAAAGAATTGCCCATCTTGAGGTTCAAACCAACCTTGCAGTCCAGTGTATTATCCTGCAGCGGCACACCAGGACTAAATGATGGTGGTGGTGGTGGTGGTGGTGTGCCCCGGAGTTGGTTCCCACTCTTAGCAACCCTGTATAGGATTTATGAGGCTGTAAATCTTTGCGGGAGCAGAATGCATCATCTTGCTCCCACGAAACTGCTGGTAGATTCGAACTGCTGACCATGAGGTTAGCACCCCGATTCATAACCACTGCTACCAGAGCTCTTTAGCCCTCTACAAAACATGGAATTTACATGTGTCGTATTTTATCTTAAGTAGTTATGATTAATGCTCCATACTAAATGACATAATAAATCTTGTTTAAATTGTATTTTATTGTCTTTCATCTTTATTGCTTCTTTCATTTTCTGAGTTGTTTAGAACGCTATACAAGTATTTCAAAAGCAAAAATTTTACTTGTAAGCTTTTAAAGTGTTTGCATTTATTATGCATCATACACTATTTTAGCACTTCTAATCTCAAGAGTACCTGGTGTGGTGCTATGGGCTAATGCGTCAGACTGCAAAGTCATTTGAATTGCAAGGTCAGTGGTTCAAGCTCACCAGCTGCTCCTTGGAAACCCTATTCAGGGTTGCTATGGGTCAGAATCGACTTGACAGCAGTTAACAACAACAACAGTCTCTAGGAGGCATTTTATAAATTAGGAATCAAATGCTCGTAAAGATTCAGTGAATTCATCAGTTAATAAATTGACTCTGGGTCAGTGACATTGTAAACATGCCTTACTTATGTGTTTATAATTTGTTGTTGTTGTTAGGTGCTGCCTAGTTGGTTCAACTCACAGCAACTCTATGCAAACCGAATGAAATACTGCCAGATCCTGTGTCATCCACACAATTGTTGCTACGTTTGAGCCCATTGTTGTTGCCTCTTTGTCAGCCCATTTCTTTGGGTGTTCTTCCACTTTTTCGCTGACCTTCCATTTTACCAAGCATGGTGTCCTTTTCTAGGGATTGGTCCATCTTAATAACATGTCCAAAATACATTTTGGTGGCGGTGGTGGTAGTATGCCATGGAGTCGATTCTGCCTCATAGCAACCCTATACAGGATTTCCGAAGCTGTAAATCTTTATGGGAGCAGAAAGCCTCCTCTTTCTCCTGTGGAACAGCTGGTAGTTTTGAACTGCTGACCTTGAGATTAGCAGCCCAATTCATAACCTTAAAATACACTTTAGTACCAGCCAAATTTCCCTCCTAATTAAGGAGAAGAAATCATCCTTTCATGTTTATACTCCTGGTCATAGATTTACTAAATTTATAAATAATAATATATGTATTGGTCTATGGTTTGTATTTTCTTATAGACCAATTGTCTAGTTTTTCTGGATCAACTTTTTATTATGCTCTGAACTAACCAAATTCCAAGTAAAAGAATAAAAAGATCAACCTGTACTTTCTCTTTGCTTTCTTAATAGTTACATTCATTTCACAGAAAAGATGAATGGTAATGAATAGGATAATTATATAATTTTGATTGCATCATTAGTTCATAAATTTTCTACAGTCTTTCCTACCTACTTTTGTAATGTTTTCCTGCTTAAATTGGAAAATTTACTATAAAAGAGTTTCCCACTCCAGATATATCAATAAAGAACCATGAAGTTATAAAAAAAAAAATATTAGATATGTAGTATTAAAGAAAAACATAAATGATCCCTAAATTATTCAGATTCTAGAAATTAAGAAGACATTTTATTTGTTATGATCATCTGTAACTCCTATTTCTTTGAAAACTATTCAGATAATTTCAACAAGACTGTGTTATGAAAATAGTAAACACCGATGCTGGCGATTGAAACTAGTACACGTAGTCCTGGACTATGATGTGATTCTGTTCCAACAACTCCTTCACAAGTCTGTTCTGACATGAGTTAAATACTTCCCCCCTGCCCCACTGCCAGTTTGCATAGCTTGTTTTGAACCATAAATCATAACAATAAGATCTTTATGTGAACATCTGAGAAAGATGGCATCAGTAAATTCTGCCTGCAACATTAGATATATATGTAATACATATTACTGATTTTTAAAAACTCTACTACAATAGATTCTGACTCATAGTGACCCTATAAAGCATTTCAGAGGCTGTAAAGACTTACAGGAGACAGTAGTCTTATTTTTCTCCTGAGGAGCAGAACTGCCAACCTTGCAGTTGGCACTCCAGTTCTTATCCTACAAGGCCATCAGGGCTCCTTATTAATTAATGATGTTGTCATTAAGTGGCATCGAGTTGGTTCTGACTTAGAGCAATCTTGTATAGGGTTTACAAGAAGCGGCTGGTGGGTCTGAACAGTCAATCTTGTGGTTAGCAGCCCAATGCTTATCCTACAGTGCCACACCAGAAGTTGGATTCTTTAGAGAACTTAAATTTAAATTTCACTGACAACTTGTAAGTCTCAAGACTATGCAAGGCATAGTTTTATGAATAGATAGATGAAGTTGATTTCATAAGTTAAGCTCTGTCTATTTCTTCAGTTACAGAGGGAGTGGGGAGGAGGATTATATCTTTATGTGGTCAGTACAATTATTATCCCATTACAGATGATAAAATGGAAACAGAAAAACAATGTTTCCAGGGTCCACATCTAGTAAGTATTCTCAAAGCTCATGGTAATAAAAGTGTATAATTTCTATGTTGTTCCAATTAGTTTTAAAAATTATTCCTGCATGGATATTTTCTTCCCAACCAGGCTGTTAACCAAATAGCTTCTTTCTGCTTAAAACTCAATGGTAAAGTACCTACTACTAAATAACATTTCCTTTTTTGGCCTTCAGACTGTTGTCTGTGCAGTAAGTGTAGATAATTCTAGTGTTGTAAACCGTACCTAGCAGGTGGTACAACATAATATAGGCAAAGTTTGAAAATAGCATCCATTTCCATCCCAGAAAATGTAAGATTCTATTAGAACACGTGGTGGCGCTACAGGATAAGAAGGTACAAACCGGAACCGCAACTCTGGCTTCTGTAACAAGCAAATTTTAACCAACAGAACCTGGAAGCGAAGGGGAAGCTTGGACACCAAGGAAAGAAAATTGGGATGAGAAAAGGTCTATTCGCCAAAATATTTAAGAAGTATCTTGTGGCTTAATCAGAGTTTTAGTTCCTGGGGTTTTACAATTCAGTGAATCCATCCTCTCAGGAAGCTGTACCAAGAAAGAACAATGGAGGCCAGCAGGAAGCTCATTTACAGACAAAGGCAAGTCGTTCTTTTCTGTTTCTTCTTGGGTTTTTCTCAGGCGGGCGCGGAACCTAGGCGTTATTCTGTAGTGGAGGAAACTGAGGGCAGCTCCTTTGTTACCAACATAGCAAAGGACTTGGATCTGGGACAGAGGGAACTCATCAGGCGTGGGGCTCGGGTCATATCCAAGGGAAACAAACTGCGTTTGCAACTCGATCTGGAGACTGGAGATGTGGTGCTAAATGAGAAACTGGATCGTGAGGAACTGTGCGGCGACACAGAGCCCTGTGTGCTACCTTTCCAGATTTTGCTAGAAAACCCCTTAGAGTTTTTTCAAGCTGAATTGCAAGTAATAGACATAAATGACCACGCCCCATTGTTCATGGACAGAGAAATATTACTAAAAATATCAGAAAGCAGTCCTCCTGGGACTACCTTTCCTCTGAAAAGTGCCAAGGATGTGGATGTAGGTGGAAATAATATTAAGAATTATGTCATCAGCTCCAACTCCCACTTTCAAGTCCTCACCCGAAAACGCAGCAACAATAGTACATATCCAGAGCTAGTGCTGGACAAAGTGCTAGATCGTGAGATGGAACATGTGCTCATGTTAACCCTCATGGCCCAGGATGGTGGCTCTCCTCCTCGATCGGGAACAGTCCAGGTCCACATTGAAGTCCTGGACACCAATGACAATGCCCCTGAATTTGAGCAGCCTCTATATAAGGTACAGGTCCCTGAGGACAGTCCCATAGGCTTCATGATTATCCGGGTCTCTGCTACTGACATAGATATAGGAGCCAATGGAGAAATTTCTTATTCATTTTTTCAAGTTTCAGAGGAGATTAGCAAAACTTTTGAAGTAAATCCCAGTACAGGAGAAATGAGACTGAATAAACAACTTGATTTTGAAACAGCTCCGTCTTATGAAGTTAATATGGAAGCCAGAGATGCTGGAGACTTTTCTGGAAAATGTATTGTTTTGGTTCAAGTCATGGATGTGAACGATAATGCCCCAGAAATATCCATTACTGCGTTTACCGGTCTGATCGCTGAGAACTCGCCTGAAACTGTGGTTGCAGTTTTCAGTGTTTCAGATCTTGATTCAGAAGAAAATGGAAGAACAGAGTGTTCCATTCAGAATGATCTGCCATTCCTCCTGAAATCTTCTGTCGAAAACTTTTACACTCTAGTAACAGACAGACCTCTGGACAGAGAGAGTAGATCTGAGTACAATGTCACCATCACCGTCATGGACTTGGGAACCCCAAGACTAAGAACACAGCTCAATGTAATCATCCTGGTCTCGGACGTCAATGACAATGCACCCACCTTCTTCCAAACCTCTTATACTTTGTTTGTTCGCGAGAACAACAGCCCCGCCCTGCATATAGGTACTGTTAGCGCCACAGATCAAGACTCTGGCACCAATGCCCAAATCACCTACTCGCTGATGCTGTCCCACGACCCGAAATTCCCTCTGGCCTCCTTGGTCTCCATCAACGCAGATAACGGGCAACTGTTCGCTCTGAGGTCTCTGGATTACGAGGCCCTGAGAGCGTTCCAGTTCCGCGTGGGCGCGGTAGATGCAGGCTCTCCAGCTCTGAGCAGCGAGGCGCTGGTGCGCGTAGTCGTGGTGGACGATAATGACAACTCGCCCTTCGTGCTGTACCCTCTACAGAACGGCTCTGTGCCCTGCACCGAGCTGGTGCCCAGGGCGGCTGAGACGGGCTACCTGGTGACCAAGGTTGTGGCTGTGGACGGCGACTCGGGCCAGAATGCCTGGTTGTCCTACCAGCTGCTCAAGGCCACAGAACCCGGGCTGTTCAGCGTGTGGGCACACAACGGCGAGGTACGTACCACCAGGCTGCTGAGTGAGCGCGATGCAGCCAAGCACAGACTGGTCGTGCTGGTTAAGGACAATGGCGAGCCTCCAATGTCGGCCACCGTCACGCTGTTGGTGCTCTTGGTAGACGGTTTCTCGCAGCCTTATCTGCCGCTCCCTGAGGTGACCTCGGAAGAGACCCAAGCGGACTCGCTCACGGTCTATTTAGTCATTGCCTTGGCTTCCGTCTCATCGCTCTTCCTGTTCTCAGTGCTTTTGTTTGTGGCGGTGCGACTGGGCAAGAGGCACAGGACGACCTCAATGAATCACCTCTCAGTGCCTCAGAGCCACTTTCCGGGCCACTTGTTAGAAGTCAGCAGGACTGGAACACTATCGCATAATTACCAGTATGAGGTTTGTCTGACAGGAGGCTCAGGGACCAGTGAGTTCAAATTTCTGAAGCCGATTTTACCCAATTTCCAAAATCATTCCCCTGGGTCAGAAATAGAAGAAAACCCCAACTTTAGGAATGATTTTGGTTTCAGTATTCAGTAACAATACTTCTTTTTCATATTACATATTTTTAAAAATTCATGGTAGATTCATGGTGATAGTTTGGGCCATCTATTGTGGATTTGAAATTGCACCAAACTTGCCTGCAAGATTTCTTATGTTATCCTTATAAAAATGTATGTTACCTTTTCTTCATGCCTGTAACAAGATTAATGATCCTAAATCTTGCCTCTTGAAACATGAAGTCAGTTTCAAGTCAAAAGTCAAGCCTTTGCTCTGAAATAGAGGAGGAATGTGTTTAGGGTGGAAAAGTGAAAAAACTAACTCTTTGCAATCACTTTTATTTTCCTGTAAACTTTTGGGTTTTTTTTAATGAGTTATAAACCATTGGAAACATACAGAGTAATAATGTATTAACATTTACACTGGAGTCTTCCTATTTGGGAAGGAAAGATTTATGCAGAGAGAAGATCTGTCCCTCATAGGCATAAAGTTCTTTGAAGTAGTTTTCCCTAATATGTTAAGCTACAAATATTATGCTAATTGTGCATCTTTTCATGAATATACCTATGTTGATTCTAATGCAACTTCATAATGCTTTTCATTGGTTTAAAAAGAGACAAGATTACTGTACCAATTTATCTTATGAGATGAAATATCATGGCAGTGAAACTGGCTTTTCCCATTTTGAGAAACATTAAACATAGTTTTTCTGTGACAGAAACTGTGACAGTAGCCACCCAATTTCTATCAATATTTTTTTTTTTTCTTTAGAAATGGATCTCAAATTTTGTTCAGGACACTAATGAGTCTGTCAAGTCTTAAGAGTAAAATTTCCCAGCCTACTTGACAGCTAGGACTGCTAATATCATGAGATGTATGTATAAATGTTATAGGAGACTTCCAGTAAGTTTGCTTTAAGGAAGATGATTTATCTAGGAAGGGGATACTTTACTTCTTTAACTGATGCATTTGAATTATGGTGTTGGCAAAATATATTGACTATACCAGGGACTGCCAGAAAAATGAACATATCTGTCTTGGAAGAAGTACAGCCAGAATGCTCATTAGGAAACAGGATGAAAAGATGCCATCTCATGTATTTTGAATATGTTATCAGGAGGGACCAGTCCATGGAAAAGAAGACATCATGCTGGGTAAAGTAGAGGGTCAGTAAAAGAGAGGATACCCTCAAAGAAATGGATTGATAATGGTTGAAACACTAGAATCTGACATAACAATTGTGAGAATAATGCAGTGTTTCATTCTGTTGTACATGAGACACTATGAGTCTGAACTGACTTGACAGCACTTTAAAACAACAACTGTTCCCCGTGTTGCTTGGAATGTAGTGTCTTGGCTACCTCGTGAACAGCCCTTTTGTACTATACAGTATCCTTAGTGATGTAAACAATGAACTCTTACTGTGTGGAATAAACTAAAAAGAGCAAGGGGTCCCTCATAATCAGTGAAGTCATTACATCATCTCTGGATTGCCTATTTTGGAACTCCTTTTACTTAATAAATAAGGAAACTTCTATCTCATTTAAATCATCATTGTTTTAGTTTTGGTGGTACTTCCAATTTTGTTGTACTTTTAGTTTGTTTTGTTTTTCATAGTAAATTTTTAGTGATATATACATACGTATGTGTGGAAAATGTACAAATCTTAAGTGTACAGTTGCTTGAATTGTTTTATTTTAATTCTATTTAAAGTTGTATTCATTATGCTTTATGCATTATATTTTTGCTCCTCTGTCAAACCATAAGGAGGTTGGCATTATTATCCCCTTTTACATATCAGGAAACTGAGTCTTTAAAAGTTGACTTACTTGCTCACAATTCTGAACAATAGGAGAATTTTAAGTTCATCCGACTCGACTCAAATGTCCATGTCTTAACCAATTTGCTATACTGTCAGACATTCATTGGTAGCATTGTTTTCCTAACTAAGGGAGTGAAATTCATCAAGTATTCCTACTGCTATTCTACAAAGTGAACTCCCCATGTGATTAAGTTGGACCAACACAGATAATTTAAAATAATTTCCCCATCTCAAGGTCTGTAACTTAATCACAGCTGCACTTTTCTTTTTGACATGTATGCTAACATATTCACAGGTTCCAGATATTAGGATATGAAAATCTTTTGAAGACCATGATTCTACCTACCACAGCCTGGCTGGTTGTAGGAGAAATTATGCAGTCTAGTAGTATCTCCTATGGTCAAAAAAAGGCACATGAAGATCTTTTTACCAGGGATTTAGGACTTATTGATTAGGTGTTTTAATCCCAGACAAAGTAATTAACAGATTTCTAAAAATTGTTAACAAAAGCAATGACTTGATAAAGATATCATGAAATCTTTACTATAATTCAGTTCAAATTATGGAAATGCCTAAACAAGAAAATCCAAATGCATGGTGGACCAATCTTGTGATCTACTTATTTGGGAAATATTTTTTTCAAAAATTTAGAAAAGCTTACAGTTCTCTTTTTGATGGCATTGGTTAAGTACTGTTTTCAGAACCTCCACTGGTTGAAAATTTACAATATCCATTCATTTGTAATTCTATGGTATGTTCTATGAAAAAATATATGGTTGTGAAACTGTTCTCGTTACTTCAGAAACATTTTGCTTATATATTTTTTTCTCAGCTTAATGTTATTTTACTTAACTGCCAACATCTCAACCATCAATAAAATGAGAGATCATTTGCTTTTGTATTCCTCCCTGTGCAGTAACACAGAGCTCTATCTGAACATATAAACATAACATGAAAAAATAACTCAGTGTTTTGTATGACATAACACAGTTGATATTGCCTGCTCAGTACATCAAGGAAATTTTTACCTTTAGAGTTAAACCAGAAAATATATACCGCAGCGAGAACACATGGTGGCGCTGCAGGTTAAGATGATGAAAAATGAATTGCCTGTGCAGTTTCCCTAAGCTGCCAAACAAAAGAAAGGCTTTCTCAACCGAGTAAAAGCGGGTGTGGACCTCCTTTTAAATCTATTCAGCGATATTTTATGACATTCTGGACTACAAGACTGTGCTACCAGGATCCTGCCCATACATGAAGCTCCTGTGAACCAAATTTGCAGGAAAGAACAATGGAGATTGGATGGATGAACAATCGAAGACAGAGGCAAGTCCTAATTTTCTTTGTTTTGCTCAGTTCGTCTAGGGCAGGCGCTGAGTTGGGGCCTTATTCAGTGATGGAAGAAATGGAGAGAGGTTCCTTTGTGGCAAACCTAGGGATAGACCTAGGGGTGGGATTGGCAGAACTGTCTACCCGAGGGACTCGGATCATTTCTCCTGGAAACAAAGAGTATTTGCAGTTGAATGTTCAGACTGGTAATTTGCTAATAAATGAGAAACTAGATAGAGAGGAGCTATGCGGCCCCGCTGAGCCTTGTCTACTACATTTCCAAGTGTTAATGGAAAATCCCTTAGAGATATTTCAGGCTGAACTGAGAGTGACAGACATAAATGATCATTCTCCAGTATTTTCCGAAAGAGAAATGACTCTAAAAATACTGGAGAACAGTCCTCTAGGAAATGCGTTTCCTCTGAAGAATGCTCTAGACTTGGATGTAGGAAGCAATAATGTTCAGACATATGAAATCAGTCCCAACTCCCATTTCCGGGTTCTAACCAGCAAGCGCAGCGACGGCAGAAAATACCCTGAACTGGTACTGGATAAAGAACTAGACCGTGAGGAGGAGCCTGAACTCAGATTAACCCTCACGGCGCTGGATGGAGGCTCTCCACCCAGGTCTGGGACCACCCAGATCCGCATTGAAGTTGTGGACATAAACGACAATGCCCCAGTGTTTGAGCAATCTCTCTACAAGGTACAGTTTCCCGAGGACAGTCCCATAGGTTCCCTGGTTGTCAAGGTCTCTGCCATTGATTTAGACAGCGGAGTCTATGGGAAAATATCATACACACTCTTTCAGCCTTCGGAAGATATTAGCAGAATTTTAGAGGTTAACCCTATCACCGGAGAAATTCGACTGACTACACAAGTAGATTATGAAACAATTCTGTTTTATGAAGTGGACATCGAGGCCACGGATGGGGGAGGTCTTTCAGGAAAAAGCACTCTTCTCCTACAGGTGGTGGATGTGAATGATAATGCCCCAGAAGTGACTATATCTGCACTCACCAGCCCCATCCCAGAAAATTCGCTTGACATTGTAGTTGCTGTTTTCAGTGTTTGGGATCCTGACTCTGGGTTAAACGGGAAGACAGTTTCCTCCATCCAAGATGGCCTTCCCTTTCTTCTGAAACCTTCAGTCAAGAATTTTTACACCCTGACAATCGAGAGCTCACTAGACAGAGAAGTAAGAGCAGAATACAATATCACCATCACTGTCACAGACTTGGGTTCCCCCAGACTGAAAACCCAACACACCATAAGGGTGTGGGTTTCAGATGTCAATGACAACGCTCCAACTTTCACTCAAGCTTCTTACACCCTGTACATCAGAGAAAACAACAGTCCTGCCCTGCACATGGGCACCATCAGCGCCACAGACCAAGACACAGGCACCAATGCCCAAATCACCTACTCACTGCTGCCACCCCAAGACCCGCACCTATCTCTCACATCTTTGGTCTCTATCAACGCGGACAATGGACACCTGTTTGCTCTGAGGTCGCTGGATTACGAGTCCTTGCGATTCTTCGAGTTCCGCGTGGGCGCTGCAGACGCAGGCTCCCCAGCGCTGAGCAGCGAGGCGCTAGTGCGCGTAGTGGTGGTGGACGACAATGACAACTCACCTTTCGTGCTGTACCCGCTTCAGAATGACTCTACGCCCTGCACTGAGCTGGTGCCCAGGGCGGCCCAGATAGACTATCTGGTGACCAAAGTGGTGGCTGTGGACGATGACTCGGGTCAGAACGCCTGGTTGTCTTACCAGCTGCTCAAGGCCACGGAACCCGGACTGTTCAGCGTGTGGGCGCACAACGGCGAGGTGCGCACCGCCAGGTTGCTGAGTGAGCGCGACGCGGCCAAGCACAGATTGGTAGTGCTCATTAAAGACAATGGCGAGCCACCGATGTCAGTCACCGTCACACTGCACGTGCTTATAGTGGACGGTTTCTCACAGCCTTACCTGCCGCTTCCAGAGGTGGCCACGGACAAGGTCCAGGAGGAGTCGCTCACTGTCTACTTAGTCATTGCATTGGCGTCGGTGTCATCCCTCTTCCTGTTCTCTGTGCTCCTGTTCATCACAGTGCGGCTCTGCAGGAGAAACAGGGCCGCCTCCATAGGTGATTTCTCGGTGCCTGAGGGCCACTTTCCAGCCCACTTGGTGGAAGTCAGCGGGACCGGCACCTTGTCCAAGAGCTACCAGTATGAAGTTTGTCTACCTGAAGCTTCTGGGACAAGCGACTTCAAGTTCCTTAAACCGATTATTTCTGACTTTCTTCCCCAAGGCGCTACTAGTGAAATTGAGGAAAACCCCACTTTTCAGAATAGTTTTGGAACTAATTATTAATAAGAACCCATCTAATAAAGGCATTTGTTCTTTAATACTTTTCTTGATGGTTAGCTAAATTGTGTGTGTGTGTAGAATAAGCACTGGACTTCAAACCACAAAATAGGCAGTTCAAACCCACCAGTTGCTCCTTGGAAATCCTATACAGGATGGTCACTAGGAGTCGGAACTGACCCAAGGCATTTAACACCACCACTACCAATAGGAGTCTTGTTATGACATTGAAGGATAAGCACTGGACTGCTAACTGCAAGGTCGGGTTAAAACCCACCAGCTACTCCTGAAAAATCCTATAGAGGGCCTAGAACTGACTGGATGACACTTAACAAGAACCATTACTACCAATATGATTTTATTTCATTTCCTCCATTTTGTTTCTTCTCAATTTCCAACCTTTTGCTGAAGTTTTTCCTCCTATTTTACCCAATGAGGTGTTTTCCCCTAGAATCTTAATGAATGAAAAAGTCTTTATTGTCAAAATGAATACCACTCAAAATATTTTCTTCTAGTTTATCTCTCTCTACATATACACATCTTTATTTGGCTTTATATCTATCATCTCTACATTATTGTTATTTCTCTTTTTCCGAGGACCTCTTCAATTTTTAAAATAATCTGTGGCATGTGATACATATATTTAGTTTTTTGATATTTCTATTTTTTCAAAATTGGTATTGTTGATTTGTCATATTTGGTTTTTATTATAACAATTTTAACTGTCATATTTTAAAACAAAGTTTTGTTGTCACTTTAGTAAATATCCTTATTTGAAATATGTTTCTATAATAAATTATATAAATAAATACCTAACAATTCTTAACAGAAAATGAAAAGAAAAACTGTTGTAAGGTATTGAGTGTGGGGGGTGTGTGTGTGTTTAAGTTTGAAGAAAAAAAGAGCAAAGTTTAGGCATTCTATAGCATTATATGACATTTTAACTAATTTTTGCTTTTAATTCTGCATGAAAAGAAAAAAATCACTTAAGTCCCTGTTGGGTTTTAACAAGCAAGCCCCTGTCTGTTTTTTTAAAAAGTCCAACAGAAGTCATTAGAGGTTTATACAGTGTGGCTTTTATAGTTAACAATTAGAGTTTTACTTTTTTTTTTT